AAATTCGTGAGGTCCGTTGGTTCGTTCCGTGGCTTAGTTGGTATAGCATCTGGCACCGCATGCAAGAAGACATCGGTTCGAATCCGACCGGATCGAAGGAATTTTTTCTGTGTGTTCGATCTTTGTATTAATAATTATAACAATCAAATTTTTATCAGTTCGATCAGGTGCTCCGATCATACGCACGCGCACGCTTCCATATTGTGTATTCGTAGTGAAAATGGCGACGCCAGAAATTGAGAAATTATTTTTTTAAACAAAACACCTTTAAATATAAAGTCACTAACTTAAGTCATTAACTTTTGTCGCCTATCTATGTCACCTCTGCTGAGATGACAAGGCAAATCTTTTTGCCTCACTCTTTGCAAAGAGTTCGCATGTGGATCTAATCTTACCTCAGGCTGGCTATACTATGGCGCCAATTCGCATACGCCAAAAAGATGTACTTAGAACTCTGCGGAATCTAGATGTGAATAAAGCTAGCGGGCCAGATGGATTTCCAGCACGTAACTGTGCACCTGAGTTGTCTCCTGTTCTCATACGCCTACGCTTGTACCGCCTCTCACTTGAAACTGGTGTAGTTCGCAGGTTGTGGAAACTTGCAAACGTGCAACCTGTGCCGAAAAAGGGAAGCAGAGCTGACTCTGTCAACTATAGACCTATCTCAGTCACTTCCATACTCTGCAAGATTATAAAACGTGTAGGTACTCAACAACCGTCTCTTGTCGTACCTTGAAGACAACGACCTCCTCAGTGATCGCCAATACGGATTCCGACGAGGGCGATCAACTGGGGATCTTCTTGTGTATGCCTGTCACATATGAAGCGAGGCTATAGAAAAGCAAGGTGAAGTACTTGCAGTGTCTTTGGATATTTCTAAAGCCTTTGACAGGGTCTGCCACGCAAACCTTTTAAGTAAGCTTTCCTCTTATGGGCTTCCCACTGGCCTTTGCATTTGGATCTCGGATTTCTTGAGCGAACGTTCGATTCGAGTGGTCTTAGAAGGCTACTCTTTTGAACATATGGCGCTAGATGGCCGGAGAACCTCAGGGGTCCCAGGTTCGATTCGTGGGCCGGGAGAAATATTTGTATGACCTACATTTATTTCTCTCGAGAGTTTGGGTGTAATTTCCGGTTATTTATGTGTGTGTCCATGATACCCGCGACACAGGGTTTCCCTAGTGCGTAGCTGTGTTGAGTGACTGCGTTATTATTATTATTTCATCACTGACTTACTGTCAATCACCAAAGTATCTGTGGTACTTTCGTCGGACCTTGAAATATGATATTCGACATTCCCTTAAAATTTTAATGAAAAGTAAGGAAAAAATTAAAAATTGTGGAATATTCTGTCCGCTGTTTAATTTTCCGTAGAAAATTTATTTGCAGTCACTTTTCAATAAATTTTTTTCGTAATCCATACATAATAATTATTTGAGTGGGAAAAATAAATTTGTAGGATTTATTGTATTGGGGACTTTAATCTGAAGAATTAAGATTGTGTGATTGATTGCATGTTTGATTGATTATATTTTTGTTTAATTTACATGTTGTAGATAGCTACTTCCGTAGGTAACGTTTTATTTAAAAAAAATATAGTATATCCTCTTTATTATATTTATTTATTTAGTAATTTATACTCGTGTACTATAGATTAATAACGAGCTGTCGTGTTTAAAATAAAATAAATGACAATGTAGTTCACGGGCATCACTAAACGTCCCTCTATTATGTACAGCTCTTTAAAAAAAACAAAGATTTAGACCGTACGTAAGGGACTTGGGTGTACTCCATGACGACAAACTACTTTTTGACAAGCATATTGACTGTGTAATAAGTAAGGCATCAAAGGCACTTGGATTCATTATTCGGTCATCGGCGACGTTCAATGATATCAAGTGCATTAAGATTCTTTACTGCTCTTTTGTACGGAGTCACCTTGAGTACGCTTCACAGGTCTGGAATCCATGTTATGAAAGCTATAAGTCTCGGTTGGAGGCAATTCAGCAAAGATTTTTACGTTATCTGGACTACAAAACTAAACAATTTTCATCAGGTTATGAGCACAGGTGTACTAGGTATCATTTTTTGCCGCTTCGTATCCGTCGAGACATTAGTGACATCAATTTTCTGATGAGGATCACCAGCGGTAAGATTAATTGTCCGGAATTGTTGTCACACATAAACCTGCGCACAAACTTGTTGCATTACAGATGTCGACCACCTCTGCAAGTGCCGTTTGCGAGCACTAATTATAGACAAAATACGTACACGGTGCGTGCTTTGAGACTTTCAACTTCAACTTCAACTTTTGTGTCTATGGCTCCGTCGTTTTGCGCGACGATTTTGTCAATGTCAGGGTTGAAAGACATGTGGAGCGGTGGTGAGATAGATTGCCGGTTATTAAAATACTTCGGCGGTTTTTATTCACAATGACGGTTATATGTATAATTTTAATGACATTACAAAAATATAATTTGAGAGCTCATGCTATTTTCTTTCTTTTAGAAACATTGTAGGAAGTTTTATTTAGCGGGAAATAAAAAATAAAATCGTTTAGTAAAACAAAGTTAGGCATCGTTTTCGTTCAGTAACAAACTTTTGACCGGTGTCAACGTGGAAAATTATCATGGAGGATGGAGAAAGAAATAAAATTATACGAAAGATAATGGGAGAATACGGAAAGAGTGAAGAATATTCATTTTTCTTAAAAATTAAGACTGATCAGAAATGAGAATTTTTCTATGTGACAGTAAATCATTCTGAGTTTGATTTGTTTTGTTCAAGCATAGACACAGTCAGGCGTGAAATGACCAAACGTCACTTTGACACATCACGTGATTGGCGATGAATACACTCTGGTTTGATCGTTTAATTCTTAGACTTATTTTCTTTTACCATCCTCTAAGGGTTAATTGTATATTAATAGTAATTTTTATTTTATTTTTTTAATTTATTGACTGCGTTCTTTGTATTCTCCTGTAATCTCTTTTTGGCTTGCTAGGCACTGTATATTGTTTCATGTAGGTGGAAATTCGTAAATGGCATTGGATTACTCATATTTAAGTTTACTATAATTGTATTATTTGTCCGTGAATTTTCCTAAAATGTATAAATAAAAAAATAAATAAATACCTAATCTACCATGCTGACCCAATGTCGGTGGAGGGTTCATGTTTCTTTAAAGTATTTTTAACCTTCTGATCCACTCTACACCCGTCCAATCTCAACCACATGAACCAAATCACAGTTATTCCTATTTTTAAAACTGGTAGTAATATTCGAACTGGTGCCATCGTCACATTTCCACCATGGCGCAACTCCCGCCAAAGAAGTAGACTTCAGTAGCATTACGTTCGTTCCTTCTTCGAAGCTGCAAGATCTGGAATAGTCTCCCTCCTTGCTTTTTGAATGGGGTTCTTTCGGGATTTCTCTCAAAGGCTGGCAATGCTCCTCAGATACCCGTGGGCAAGCACCATAAATAAAATAAATATATAAAGTAACTTATATAAAGTGACTTGTCTATTCGTTTGCCTCCTACTTTATATTAAAAAAACAGACCTTACAATTTCAGATAACCTCGACCTGTTTAAATTTATATTTCAGTGATCATCATGGTCTGTAATAAGTATGGGTGTCGAGTGTTAGACAGACTGACACAAACTTTTAGTTCGAAATAAAAAATGAACCTTGTAGATACAGCTGTATTTTTTATAATTTTAGTCGCTAAATTGCAATAGGTTTCATAAATAACTAAGTTGTCTACATAGCTCTTCTATGCAGTGTAGACGTTTAAAAAATATAATAACTTTTATACGTGGAAACCACTATATTGGAAGAAATTGTATATGAAAAAATTGTGAACAAATATATAGTCTCAAATAGAAACTCCTACTGTTTATACCTCGTTCGTCTCGGGGAATATGAATATGAATGAGTAGCAGTGTTTAATCAATGGGGCAATTTCAAGTGTAATTTACTTACTTAAGGTCAAAATTATTTCTTATCTGTATGTGAAAAACACAGAAACTTAGAACAGGCTACGTTTCTTACCAGAAACTATAGAATTAATATTACAAGTGGTTCTTGAAAATATTTAAGTGCTGACAGTGGTGGGTGACTGAGTTACTTTTATAATTATTTTGTACCGAAACCTTGTACCATATTTCATTTATTACGTTTTTGGTAATAATAATGTTATGTATTTTACACATATATTTTTCCGGTATTATTACAAAGTAGTATAGAAGTACATTTTATTTTTAAAAAGAACATGTTTAGATTTCGTGCAATGACCGCGTACCTCTAGGCTAGACGAATAAATTACTTACATAAAGTGATTGTAGTACATTGTTGAGGAACGTGTGATTAGTTACGGAAAATATAGTAATATTTCTTATCAACTTGGTATTATTTCACGTCCACGAAGAGCACTGCAACATATTTGTGTAAAATTCTTTTGTTTCAATTCCGAAAAACGATACCCCTAATACTAATATTATATTATTTATTATTTGTCCTGAAAGAAAGTTTCTCCCCTGGTTACCTTCGTGAGCGTTTCCGATACCGTCAGGCTATGGGTGATCACCTGCATCCAAGTACTAATTTGTTCCTTGTCATTCCACAACATAGTTCGCAAAAATATTATGAATCGTTCACAGTGAATGCTGCTCGTATGTGTACCTCATATACATATCTAGGTATATGTCTGTGGTGTACCTCCTCCCGATCCAGATCAGCAGTCATCTTCGGTTCGGGCCTTCAGGAGTGCCCTCTTAAAATCTTGGGATTATTCTGACTCATGTTAGAGTTTTTGTTTAAATTTCACGTATTTATGTATAGTCTTATTTTATACATTCATTATACTACATATTTTATATGTATTATAGTATATCATCATTTAGTTAATATTATGTATTCGTGTGTACATTTGATATAATACATTTATTCTTATAATTATTTAAAAATTAGTACTTAAAAATTAACAAGGTTTGCATGAGTTTGTAATGACAAACTACCCTCTGAAGCTGAACCAACTTTTACCATTTAATGCAGAATAATTGGTCTTCCTCCACTATAATTTGCCTTTATTGAATTTTAGTACTAAATTTAAAGATAACGTTATCTAACTCACTCCATAGTTCATTGTGTTACAAGTAATAAACAGATTGTCAACGATCCTGTAGTTGCTGTTTATACTATTATTATCATTAATAGATCAATTTATTTGGCGTACTGGCTAAGCACTTTCCTCAGTTTTAAATATTCGGTATCAGGCCGGATATCGTTCTACTATCCGGTATCGGGCCGGATAGTAAAAATGGGCCGGACAGGCCGGATACCGGATATCCGTTTCATCTCTACTTGAGGCACTATAATTGTCTTTTGGTAGTGACGATATCGGATAGGATATCGTTATCCAACAGTGTTTACGGAGTAAGTTGGTGAAATAGATTATAAGAAAAATGAAAATCCTTTTATATACATTTATAAATTACTTATTTATTTATTTATTTAATCTTTTTGCACAATACGTTAATGTACAAATGGCGGACTTAATACCATAAGGCATTCTCTACCAGTCAACCATGGCGCCAAACGGAAAAACACAAAAGGTTGGCGCTATATATAAAACAGAAAAAAATAATCATAAGCCTATATTTTATGGTTAATTTATACAGTATAAAATAAACATAATACAGCATAAATGTACTCAATATAAGTATATAAATATACAATAAACAATACATATATATATGTATAACAAATATATACAATATATATATATATATATATATATATATATAATATATAGTAAACATAATATTAATTAATAATATACAAGTACCCACAATAACATTCTGCAGAGTCTTCTAGAGAGATCTAGAAGATTATCAAAAAGATAATTGCGCAACATGCGCTTGAAAGATAATTTAGTCTGAGCTTGTCTTATATTTAGCAGGAGCGCGTTCCAAAGGCGGATTGCATGAAGGTCAAAAGAATTAGATACAAAATCAGTATTAAATAAATTAATAAAATTGAACAAAATCCAGACTTTATTTAAAATAATAATAGATTGCCATATTACATTATTGCTTTGTAATCAATAGGACGTTCGGTAACTTTCATTCGATAACTGTGTTCTGTTTAACGTTTGTAACCTTTGCCGGTCGAGAAGTTCCACTAATCGGGTACGTCGGGTACGGGTGTGACGTCATTTCAAGTCGATTTCGAATACGACAGACTCGGGTGTTGTGAATAAAAATGAAAAGAAATCGTACGATATCAAATCGAATGGTTTAACAACTGAGTTACCGTAAGGTCCTGAATCGACCACCTGGTGTCCCAAAACACACTATCTACCTAGTTTGGACATCAGTCTCTAGCTAACTTCTAACATCATAATCATATCTGCCGGATGTCCACTGCTGAACATAGGCTTCCCCAAAACATTTCCAGACTAGAAGGTCGGACGCGACGAGCATCCATCGGTTACCCGCCGCCCTTACTAGGTCACCCGTCCATCTAGTAGCGGGCTGTCGCAATGAACGCCTTCCGTTTCGTGGTCTTCATTCAAGAACCTTTCTGCCCCAACAGCTGTCAGTTTTACGAGCTATGTGTGCCCTGCTCACTGCCACCCTAGCTTGCTAATCTCTTGACCTATGTCGGTGACTTTCGTTCTTCGGATCTCCTCATTTCTGATTCAATCACGCAGAGAAATGCCGAGTATTGCTCGCTCCATAGCTAGTTCAATAACTTTGAGCTTTTTTATGAAGGCCATAGTAAGCGACTACGTCTCAGAGCTGTAAGGTCATCGCTGGCAGCACGTACTGCTCGAAGACTCTTGTCTTCGAAGACTGCGGTATTGTGGATAAGAAGACGTCTCAGAGCTTTAAAAGAATTTAGATCCAACCTTGAGGACAGTTTCTATAAACCTGTTGCTAATGTTCTCCACAGAGACACAGTCCTGTAGGCAGTCCAAATGATTTTGAAATTCGAGCTGTTTCGGGGTCATTTATATGGGCACCGCTGGGTCGCAAAGTAGAAGTTCTCGCTTGCAAGTGTTAGATTTTTATGTGAATGGGAGAGATGATGATGATTATTATTATTATTATTATTGAAACCGTTACTGCGTCGAACACCAGCTATTTGTAGCGCAGTGACGCTATGTTAGTTAATAATCCTGAACTATATGAATAATCTTGACTGATATATCACATATGATTGATTGATCAACATGTAAATATGAATCATAGGTGTTGCGATTTTCAACGCATTGCATGTTTTCGTCAAGTGTGGCAACTTGAATTGTAGCTTTATAGCAACTTCTATTGAAATAGTAAAATATAATAACAACAACAATCTTATTTCAACAAAATATTTTTATTATTTTCGATGGTATAATAAAGGCGTAATGGTTTTATTAAGAAATTAGATACATTTTATTAATGGATACAACTACACAAAAGAAAGTCAACATATAATATAATATGGTCTTTTTTAAGTTATGCCGAATTAAAAAGTAGAATCAATTGTATTCAACTTTACAACTTCAATAATTTTTTTTTATATAATACAGAATCTTTCTATGATGTAGGTATACGCATACGCGTATACAAATACAACAAAACTAACAATAAATATAACAAAATAAATAAATACAACAATATTGAAGGTGTAACATGAACAATTTGATAGGCATGTTTTCAAAAGGAGAATCTTTTTTAATTTTCGATAAATAATATGTATTTAATTGTCGAATTACATAGTCACAATTTATTCATTCATGAGCCTGTTCAGCACTTCTTTAATCTCAAGGGAGAACTCTGAAATAGGTAGCGCAAGTTCGGTACTAGACGTGTCATCACTCTTGTACCTGATCATAAAGTCGGATGGGACCACGAATAGTTGCTTTTTGTCGTTTGGCTGGTCAAGACCCTTAAGGAATGGTGGCATTGGTAAATAAGGACGTTGCTGCAGCCATTTTTGGAACTCCTTCGTAGATCTGAGGAGGATAGATTTGTGATTTAAGTAGCAAAAACAATGAACAAGAAGAGAAGTAAACGCACATTCGTAATATTTGAAAGATTTTTGGTAGTGAATGCATTTATGAAAGACGTACAGTATCCTTTAAAATCTTAATCTTTAAAAATAACTTACGTAAGATGCGTAATCTCCCCCCATACACAGGCCATGGAACGCAAATCTTCGGGAATCCTAACGGCGTGCCATAGCTCTGTTGTGTTGTTATTAGGTGAAATGTGTTTCATCTTCAGTGGCAGGGAAGTGTTGAAAGCGATGGTGTGGGCGCCTCTTGTCTCAGCCTCGATGTCTCCTGCGATCATTCGCCTCAGTACTGCTGGGCACGATGTCTGAAAAAGAAAGAGGAAATCGATTTAGCAAACAAATATGTTATTACATCGTGCTAAAAATATTATTGTGAGGCGCTCTCATTAAGGCCGATTAGTGAGGCACTCGTATGAAAACTTACTATTTTTATCTAGTCTTCCTACACATACCTAAACGTTGTTAACGCTTTAGCCAAATGATCATATATTGCAAGAATATTTTGTACACAAATTTGGTAGGTACAGTAAATAGCACAATATCAAGCTTGGCACTTTGGACGTTGTATCGTTCTTATAGTATCGTGAATTTAAATCTTAATCTGACTATTCACGGCGAGCTTGAGACGCTACGGCATTTGTCGACTGACCGGTACCATTGCTCCTTTTAAACACAGAGTTCGGCTCGGCCGTGAACGGTATTCGCAATCAAAATGTCGAATGACGAACTGTTGTGACTCTTAGTTCTTTTTTTTTTTTTTTTTTTTTTTTTTTTTATTGCGACTCGACAAAATGACTGCACCGCGCCTGATGGAAAGTGCGAATACAGTCCAGAGATGAGAGTAACGGATGGAAAACACAAATATCTTCACTCCGTCACTATCATTTTGCCGGTCTGGCCAAATGCACTGGATGTACACCAACTGATCCCTGAACGCGATTCGCAAAAGCGTTTCACTGTGGAGGGTTTTCCGCCGTGTGTACTGTGGTCGCTATCCAGTCGGCACAGAGCCTACCACAATGCTAAGCAGATGGACACTTGTGACGCCCTCGGTCGCCTCTTACGACCCCCACGGGCATGTATGGGGAGGCGACAATGTATTCTTAAGCCGTCGCCCCACGGCTAAAAAAGTTCTGAGGTTTTACTTAATAATGACTTACTCCAAACGAAAAAAAAACCTTACTAGAATTCAAAAGTTTGTGATGATGCATGATATGCACGCACTTAGGTAAGACAATGCGCTCGCGACGTGCTGTACTGATCTAAAACTTAGATTCATAGGGATTTGTTAAAAATTTATACAACCGGGACGAGCACGTTACGCAAAAATTAACTGCATGGTCAGTCACCACCTTATATGTTACACATCACGTACTCTCGCCCCTGCACATACCTCCGGTGCTCCCACATAGGTGGCAATGCTCTCCTGCACGCATGGCAGTATTTTCGGATCCAACATCAAACCTCGTGACGCATGTTCATCAAACCAGATCTAAAATAAATTTAAATCAAGGTCATATTAAAAACATGTTTTAAATACCTGATATCAAAACAAACATTCTTTCTTTTTTTACCTGGAATAGGTCTTCAATATCTTTCGGTCGTTTAATTTCACTCTTAAAGTCCAGGGCTCCCAGACCATCCCACCATTCAAAGAATTCGTAAGCAATCTAGAAGAATAGAAGTTATAAAACAGTTAATTTATATAGAAGGTGATCAAACGTTCACTTCATTGGAGATTGGTAATTTATCACTTACCTTAACGCAGAAGGAAAAATTCGTGAAAAACCTACATATCACACTAGGTTCACAAAACTCTTGTGAAATTCCCAATTCACATGTATTATGGGCTAAAGCTATTCTCTCTTCAGAAAAAACGATTATGATAATGACGAAAATCGGCTAAATGTAGTAAAAGTGACTATGCATTTGTGTTTGAGTGAGATGAGACATTCATCTGATTAGAACCACTGTTAACATTTTTATTTCGTACACATTACATCGGGATCTAAATCTATTTGAGATGAAAGTTCGGGATACCACGGACGATTCTCGTTTATATTCTATTTAATTCATGAAGCTATATTTACACCGAAGAATTGTTTGAATAATTTTAAAAAAGGTCTAAGTATACCTGTTTAGTTAATATTTCAGCTTTCTTACTGTATTCATCAGAGGCAGATATTTCGAACTTCTTCTGTTTATACTTGGAATTCCATTTGATCATATCAGTCTCCGAATCGTTGCAATAAAGCATCTCAAAGTGAGGGTTTACGAGCTTTAGAGGTCGTCGACGCCTGTACCACGAAATACAAAAGTACGCTGCTAGGTTTTGAAATTGATAGATTTCATAAGAGTTACAAAAGTAGAGAATAATATATGAGCATAGTGATAGTGCAATAAAATAAAAAAAGGTTTACTTTTCTTGTAGTCGTAACTTCTGCTTGCCTCCCGTTTTGCTCCTCTGATGAACAAGAATATCGTCGTCGGTGAAAGCAGGTTCTTCGAGTGATGATTCAGACATAAATGTTTTTTTACTGCCAAATTTTTGGGTAGAACTCTTGTTGAACCTAGAGAACGATCTAGAAAACATTTTTGATACTGATTTTCCAAGTATAGATTGTCTAGATTTTAACGCCGTAGATAGTGTAATTGTTAGTATAGACTTTGTGGATACTTCTTCATTTTTCTTTGGTTGCGAACCTGATGATACTGTCCATTCCTCAGATTGCTCGTTCACTTGTTCATCGCTCAATCCTGCTGTTAAATTGCTTATTATTGATAATGCTCGCGCACTCGGTTTGGAAACCTGAAATATAACGTTTAGTTTTTTACTATGAGTAATCTGAGAGACATGTGCCTAAATGATGTATTTTGTTAATGGCGATATACTAGTATCACAGGTAATACAATAAATACTATCAGATATACTTACTTATATTTACTTAGCTAAAATACTCTACACGTAAAAGATCTCAACAGCAACTTTACGCTAAAACTACATAAGATTATAATACTTACGCGAATTAAGCGCTCTTCTGCAGTATAGTAGTCTATGGAAGGACGAGGCGAGGAAGTTTCAGAACGTGGAATATACTGTGTAGCTTCCACTGGAAGAAAAAATATCTTCGCCAATCTCTCGAAGATTAACGGTCCCACCAGTCCGCGGACTGTATCTGCGTTCGTTTCCCAGAACTGGTGAAAAGATTAATGTAAACTTCATTATCATCATCATCATTAACAACAACCTCCCACTGCTCAGGCGAGGGTTTAAGCCTTAGTCCGCAACGCTGGCAAAACGAGGTTTGGTTTTGGTTTGGTACTTCACACGTTTTCCGAATATTGTGAAACTGCTTCGATGTGTGGGTTTCATCACGATGTTTTCCTACACCGAAAAGCTCATGGTAAATTTCTAATTAAATTTCGCACAAAAATTTCGAGAAACTCAGAGGTGCGGCGAGTCCGGATACGAAGCCACGACCTCTCCTTGAGAGGTCAAACCATTTAGCTACCACGGTTTCAATGTAAATTTATACAATTTTATGACAATTTCTAATCTCTTTTATTGCAGTATGGTACTATTTCTAAAATCCAAGACTCGGTGTCATTTAAATTTTACGAAAATTGGAAGACATCATTATTATTCAGAAACGCTGAACTAAACATCTAACGTATACTTTGCAGTGAAGTATGGTTATCGTGATCTGATACCGACATATATATGTGTTTAAAAAAACATACATTTATTCAAATAAATAGAACGTCACTGAATAAGTCAACCAAATATAAATGATAATCAACTGGTGTGTGAAAAATTGTCACCTTTCGTAAAACACAAATAGCTTCAAGAAAATAGTACAGTATTTTTCATGTCTACACATAACATATTAATTTCTGGTGCATGACGTAGAAATCTTGTGAACTTTATACACAGGGCGAAAAATTAATAATAATAATAACGTACACATTAAACATAGCCCCGCACTAGGGAAACCCTGTGTCGCGGGTGCCATAGACACACATAGATAACCACATATTACACCCAAACTTACGAGAGAAATAAATGTAGGCCATATAAATATTTCTCCCGGCCCGGGAATCGAACCTGGGGCCTCTGCGTGGCAGTCCGGCATGGTAACCGTTCGGCCACGGAGGCAGTTAACACATTACATTATAAAACTAACCTGTCTTATTGTTTGACGAACGAAAAGACATTTATTTGCTTACTACAAATGACACCAGAAGTAAAAAAACAAAAAGTAATACAAACAATAAATAAGAAAAAAATAAATAAATAGAAAAGAAAAGCATGTGCTATCACTTTTAGATTGTATAAACAAAAATTTAAGTGTAATAAAGAAAAACAATATCACAACAGTACAAAAATAAAAATACACATTATTTATATTTACAAAACTAAAGACATTAAATATAAATGTACTTTATGGGGTATATATGAGCTGCGGGTTAACTCAGCATTTCGTCCCTTTACTTTCTCAAACTCGTATCTTACAAAGAGAGATTATTCAGGAGATGGAAAAACTTTCTATTTATTTTAAATTTCTTGTCAAGGGTATTAATTTGGATGCATTACTTTAAGAATAGGTAAAAGCTAGTGCGTAAATATGAGCTTCGTATATACAAATCATTTTTTGCATTTCAGTAACTTTCTGCTTTAATATACGAGTTTGAGAAAGTAAGGCGGCGACGATTTGCTGGAAGACGTTGTGCGTTTCCAGCAATGATTTTGCATAGTGACGTACCCGAACATCAATTAAATAAATAAATAAAATACACATAACTAAAATGTACACATTAATATATATTAGCCAGTTGCTTGTATACATACAGGTATACTTACAAGTAAGAAAATACATATGAATGATTAATAAGCATCAAGCAATGTTGTATAAAAAAAGTAAAATGCTGGGACATGTTAAGAGCATTCCTTTGATATTTCAAAACCATAAGCTAAACTTAAAAGTATTATTTCTTGAAATGTTACGGAGAGGACGGAGTAATTCACTTCAGTAACTGGATGATGCAAACCTGAAACTGCCTGTGAATGTAGCTGTGCAGTGAGCGGGAACGATAGCTCGAACCAGCTCTGCGACCAAGCAACGTTGCAATAGAGGTAAACGGGCGTCTCGGTTTTTACTAAAGATAGCTACCAGACCATTGAATCGGTCCAGAGTTAAATGTATAAAACAGTGGTATGCTCAAGCTTTCAAAAGCCTTTGGAATGTCCAATGAAATAACATCGTGAACGTGCTCTTCTCAATCCCGTGCAGCCAACGTATTGTCGCCTACGTGTAGCTAGGAGCAGTACTGTCACTGTGAGGCGGCTCTTTTGAAATTAGACTGGAATGCTGCTAGAATATTGGTTCTCTCCGGATATTTTGAATGTTGTCTGCATCAACACTATCTTTTCTCTCTATTATCTCTGATATGTACGGAGAATAATAATAATATATACTAAATTACGAGACGAACTAGAGTCGTGCGCCTAGTGGCAAGCGAAACGGCTGTCCTTAGCAGTTACAGTGCCACTCACAGGTTTAAATCGCAAAGATCTGAGTCTCTGAGTCAACTTATGTCTCAACATAAGTTGACCATGTGCCTATAATTTTACCCGCATCTTTAACCCTTCGAAATCGAAACGACATTACTGCTTGGTGCCAGAAATAGTCACAGTCATAGGCATATCATTAATATTAATGGTGGCAGTATTTCCCTAAACTACCTCTTTCATAAGGAGCTCTACTGCTACATCACAATGTAAAAGGACGGAATTCAGACAAAGTGGAAGGGTTAAGTTTTTTGTGGCACTACGGACTACTTGACCCACAGAACAATAAATATAGTAGAAGTGGTTAGTTGTCCGCCATTTTTGCTATCGCGCAAATTCTCTAAAATCGCAGGAACATGCCTTATTGTTCTGTTTTGGAGTGCAAAAATAACAGCCATACAAAAAATATTATCCGTAGTAGTATTTCATATCATCGGTAGGTACATCTTATTAAACTTTCAATTTTGTGTTCATCGAATCGATTCAGATGTTAATCGTTCGTCTTAGTCCAGGTACTAGCCGCAAGATGGCAACACGTCGAATTAAATTTCAATATAAAATCAAAATGTCATCATAACTTGCAATAAAGGTATTGAACTTTCAAGGATATAGCGACTGGGTAAAGTTTAAATTATATTAACAATCCAGAATTTGTTACATCTTTTTAAATTAGAAACTATGACCAATCATTATCAAGATTTCGTAGCGTTTATCATTTGTTTGTGTGCATTTTGGTGACACCGGCTCCGATAGTAATCGAGGCTTAAGGCACTTCCATTGTTTTTTTCTTCCGTGACTTGACCTGTTTTCCAGTCAGTCAGAAAAGTGTTAGTCTCGATGTTTTTATTAACTACAACCGTCAATAACATAAGTAACACATTGATGATCATTTTGGTCGACATGTTGATGGTCATCGTGGTAGTATATCGGGTCCATGTAGTTTGTATTCATAATACGATATGTCACAGGTGTCACTTTACTGCTAATAGAAACATTTTTGAGAGCATCGGGCTCAGAAAAGTGCGAAGATACCTACGACAAAGTGGTGTCAATCAGGTACAAAAACAAGTTTCAAATTTTCCTGTAGCGTCGTAGGGCGGTACCTAAGTGTCATTATTGGAATGATCAAATAAAGCTAATTTCTCATAGCACATGCCTTTATTAATGTTTCAACTGCTTGTAATATTTTTGAGCGCCATATTCCGCGTTTTCTTGCGTCATACTCCGGGGCAGAACCTAAGCTTTAATACATTTTTATTTTTTCAAAAATATCTATATCACAAGTTTCGTCGTGAACTTTAATTCAATGAGGTTGTGCTGCGGAGCATTCTCCCCGTCAGAACCACCAATAAATATCTGTTAGTACACATAGTATAAGCTACACATAGATATTTTTTAAATAGGACTAGAATTTCATTGAAATCTTATAGATATTTTTTTAAAAATAAAAATTTATTAAAGCATAGGTGGTTCTGCCCCGGAGTATAACGCATATTCTTTCTTAATCGGCTCCTAGTAAGATTCGCGTAATCAAATATTTTGAACAACTGATTTTGAAAATGCATATGTATGAAGAAAGTTCAGATTCTTGAAATATTAAAATCGTCTGGTCCTGTGAATATGATTTGTAAAATGTTTGGAATTAGTGTAAGCTATTTAAACCATTATTATAATTTAATAATTTTAATTTTTTGACCTGTTCCCATTGGCGGTTTTGTGTCCTACTCAATGTATTTTTTTTGCATTTATATTTGGTTGCATTTATTCAAATTAAGGCAATATAATACCCCCATAAAAGTTAATTGAAATAAAATTGTAAAACAGGAACCAATAAGTATTCTAGTAAAATCTGAAAAGGAGTAATGAAAAACTAACCTTTTCATCTTTGTAAGAATCTTCCAAATCCTTAACAACATTTTTCCAGTGTTGTTTGACAGAGGCTTCATTTTGCTGATACCGGGATGGCTTTATTACCTTAATAAGTCTCGAATGGTCCCAAGTTTTAACGATGGGCTTCTTCCCACAGGGCATTGCGTAACACTTATTGCAAAATATGTTGAAGGATAATTTGTACTTTAATATTCTTAACAAAGAACTAATATAAAGAAGGCAACAATATTTCACTTTGTATCACCAAAGACCTTTTGTTCGTTATCACGACAAACTTGCAACGTAGTGATTTTTATACACTCTGACAAAATGCAATCAAAATTAATTGTAGGTGTATCAAAACCAAAGAGTATGGTAATGGCAAAGAAATCAACTTTGTGTCATAATTTACGTGGCAGTATTTTTTATCATTTCCTGAAAATATCAAAGCTAATAAATACAATAGGCATAACGTCTGTTGGTTACACTGATCATTATTTATTATTTTCAACCTAATATGATAGGAAGTGTAACTTAATTTTTCGTAACACGGTGCATGCTGCCATCTGTCGGAAAATTGACGAAGTTCTCGTAGTTCTTACAAAGCTGCTATCTGCAAAGCAGACCCATTTATTGCTCATAGGCGACACCAGGCGAGACGGAAGGCAAGTTGTTTTAACAAACTTGGGTAGAGGGCGGTAACATGTACATTTGGTGAGAAGCAAAAATTGGTGAGTGGTTAGATAAAATGAGATAAGATATGATTGCAGATTGAAGTAAACGAAACATAATTTTAATGAAAAATAATTTTAAGTGTGTGCTAAAAATTTGATTAAAAGGACACTTTTATAACCACCTGGTTCTGTACCTACAACAGTAGAAAACAGGTTGTTTTTGTGTCTTTCGAAAATTTGCAAGATTACGTAGTTGGTTCAGCGAGTTCAGAGAGTTTTCTTCGTATTTGGTCTATAGGCGCAGGGGCATCTGTGGGTGAGGCGAGTGGGGCGCTGAGGTCGAGGAGATTCAACTCCATAGTGTGACGAGCCTCCAGCACAGCCAGATCGAACATGCCGAGGCTGCTGAGGTACGGAGCTCGACGGTGTTCGGGATGGTCGATCATCCAACGGCAGTACTCTCGTACACTCCTATAGGTAAGTGTTATGAAAAGTGTTAATAACTTCGAACAAATTGTAAGTTATAAATTTGTAACACAGTGTAGAGAGTTTGAGATTTGTTAAGGTACGTTGATAGACATCCAACATCGTCGTCGTGTTTTCTAAATTTTAAAAGGTTACTATCGTAAACATCAATGACAATGAAATACTTGAGTTTTGTGATTCCTTCCCACACAGTCTTTAGCGTGACCAGGTCCTTGGGAACGTGTCTGGCCGATCGCCACGTGTTCTCTGTGTCATTCCTCGGCGCGTGCCACTGCTCCTTTTTCGGCAGGCTAGTGTAGAAGCCCCGGATCTTATCTGGTTGATGCTCAGTCCGTATATCTTTTGTCACTTCACGCTCAAGCACGGCGTATTGTGATTTCTGAAATATTGAGATGTTAAAAAAGCTTTGTCTCTGGCCTAACTTTCCTATTATTATTGACCTCTTACGATTGCTACCTCAGGATGTCCCGTAACATTAGCCATCTTCTCTATAACAGATGGCAATTCCTTTGGAATAACTCGAACTCCTCGCGATATTGGAGTGTCGTATTCAATCTGTAGGCAGAACAATAACTTAGTTAATCGCGGGAATTGTTTACTAAAGCATTTCCATTACTAAATGCTAAGTATTACATTAAATGTACCTGGAATAACTCCCTAATGGCTTCTGGTGTAAACAGTTGCGATGGTTGATCACCACCCAATTCTTTCATGTACTGACAAAACTCTACGGCAATCTAAACGAAAAGAGTTTTCTTTTTTCATCAGTTCACGTTAATTTTTTATAACCACACAACATTTGACTAGATTAAGATCTTTAAAAAATATTTAAATACCCGATTAGTAATGTCATTGGCTTTTGTGACAAGGCTTTTCTCGTCGTCCCTTTCTGGCTTCAGATAGTGTGTGTTCCACGTAATTTGTTCTCGTTCAGGTTTCCTCAGCAGATCGCGGTGAACATTTGTATCTTCTTCCTTGTCACTGAAAAATTCTATGCTCAGGCCCTATAGAGGCGGCCGCGGAAGCGTTTACATAAACTCGTACATTACAAAAATTCCCGCACCCGGAACGTTTCCGCGGCCGCCTCGGTGTAGCCAGAGCATTAATGAGTTCAGCGAGGTTAAAAGTTTGAAAGCACATGTAAAACCCAACATAAAGAAATTGTCTTGAACCAAAAAGGCTATAGATAGTTTGGTAACTTAGTCTTATATACCTTTAAAAAACTTAGCACGAACCTTGTAAATCCTAATTAGCTTACCTAGGTTCATATTCGACATCGGTATCTGAATCCATCTCCCTATCTATGTAGAGAGTCTTCCTATATGAAAGCAATGGCTCCTTAATGTACCGACGTTTTTCCTCTGTAAAATCAAAATTGGAAGCAATATTTTAAATTAAAACATAAGAACGTTTACTTAACATTGAACAGTGGTTACAAAAGTTGCTGTCTTCATCCAATGTTAATGGTATTTATTATCAATTACCTCATAAATATTGTCCTGTTACTAATAAACCGCTTTTAATTTAAAGTGCAAACGTCTACCTGCAGGTTGTTCTGGTTCAAAGACCTCTGGTTCTATGACAGGAATATTCAGGGTAACGCACACTTCCTTGTATAGTTGATTTGGAAGCACCTCATATAAAAATTTGCTCTCCGTTGTCGCTGTCTACAAAATACAAAGACAACGACAAAAATTAAAATTCACTAATACCATCACCAATACATTGTATTCCGAAGTAGATGGGTAGTTGCACCTCTTGAATTGTCAAATTAGGTGCACAGTAAATGATTGTTAACCAAAAGAAGATTTTAAAACCGTTCCACCGCAACCCACCAGTTGTGATTGATATTTATATTCTTTTTGTTTACTTTTCATTAAATAAATAATTTTTAGTTATATAAATTGATTCTTGTATGCTGAAATTCGAGTTTATAACATATATTAAATATGATTTAACTAATCTAATATAGCAGTTAAGTTTTACGAATAATATAGTTTTATGATTTGACTGCTTCCGTGGCCGAACGGTTACCATGCCGGACTGCCATGCAGAGGTCCTGGGTTCGATTGCCAGGCCGGGAGAAATATGTGTATGGCCTACATTTATTTCTCTCGTGAGTTTGGGTGTAATTTGTGGTTGTCTATGTGTGTGTTCATGGCACCCGCGACACAGGGTTTCCCTAGTGCGGGGCTATGTTGAGTATGTGCGTTATTATTATTACTATTATTATACTTATAATTTTATTTTTTTTGTTTTATTTTATGATTGTTGGCTTTATAGGTCTATGCTAGTCTGCTCTATAGTTTGAAATATTCGGATTACAATTTATTACATCTAGGAGTTAGATACACAGTTTAAGAACGTAGGATTTCCTAGGTTCCAATTGTTATTATTTCATCTGGCTGGGTCATATGTCCACCTGAGAGGAAATTTCGTACGTTCATCATGGAGCACACACTGAAGTTGCTACACTGTATAAGAAATGCAGAAATGTTTTATGAGTATTATGGAAGCGGGATTTGCAGTTTGAAATGTCCTGTGAGTTCTGATTAGTATTTAGAGGGAACAAGGAAGACTTAACGCCTGTACAAACGTTTACGAAATAACACAATGATGTAAATGTTATTTCAGATGTACTCACCGGAGTTTTACTGTTGTTATCCAGCTCCTGGAATGTCTTTGACCAATACATTTTATTTGTGTGCAATGCTTCGGCACATTCATATTTAGAATGTTTCACTTTCGTTAATATACGTGGTTTTCTTGATTCATAGCCTTTTAACGTGTTCATGGTTAAGAGAAGGAAAGTAATAATAGCAGCGCCTGAAATGTTGCAAGTGAAGCCTACTAGATTTAATATTGAACTATCGTTAGATAGAAGTAGTGGCGCGTATGTACACTGTTATATTTTATCTTAGTTTATTAGTCAGTTGGTTGCCGGGGTACCGATAAAACACCTACGCTTCCAATGAAGGTTTGAAATTTATTAGATCAGGAATATTTTACATTATACATTGATTTTTAATGTAATTTTGTGTAATTTCGTCTGTGGTATGTTTACATTGTTGGTTACTGTGATAACAACGTTGCTACTAGCAATATGCAACCGGCGGTGTATCATCGTTACGGATATTAGGTAGATAATACTGCAACGCTAATACAAAATTTACAGATCATGTAATTTTGTATAAAATTTGATACATATTTAATCTCGAAGGGTATTTAACACAAAACGGCAAGACGTGTAATGTGCTTCTTGCGTGGAACTGAATTTTAGCAGCACTGTGTTTAATCAATATCCTGACAGCAAATGCCCACCTCGTGCTTCAGCCACATCAATAGCTTGTTAAAATATACACAGAATATCCAAAATTTCAATGAAACTTTGATTCGAGTTCTTTGATTCAAAAACGCAAAATACTATTCCCATGGATTTTATAGACGATTTACATAAATCAAATAAAAAACTAATTTTGAACGAAGACTTCATTCATGGCCAAAGTCAAACGAAGTGGAAAGATGAATAAACTTCACAAGTGAAGCCTGCAAGTTTGTTCAGACTACAGTTGTGTCAGATTTCACGGGAACTGGCGCTTAACACAATATTATGGAACGGCAAAACGTCAAGTTAGCATAACGCTGTTTAACTTTACCCTGTGATAATAAAATCCGAACAACGTTGACTTTCGCTAGCTCTCTCACCACGGCTTGTGCATTCTAAATATTAAAGACATTTTACTGTCCTATTCCAGTGAATACCTTCGTCGCACATTAGAATATTTCGATGACAAGTATTCGAAATATTAAACAAATACCTAAGCAGGTAGGTACCTACTAACTTTATTAAATAAACGACAAAGCCAATGCTAACAAATATTACTACTGTAAAAAAATAATTTCCGAAGTAATCCTCATATATTATATATTCACGTATAATCAATTATGACTTTATGTAAATAAAGAAAAGTGAAGTAACAAGCTGGTTTTAAGTAAATAATAATTAATGGTTAGTTTTAGGTAAATTTATTTATGGTTCAACAGGTAATATATTTAATAAATTTGGATGTTCTTGAATTAATCTTATTATCGACATTCTACGTTTATTCAATAATTTATTGATATCTGTTTCGGAATATATTGGCGAGTGTCCACAAGAACAAAAACATTGCTTTTGTACTGGGGAACTATCAGAAGTTAGATCCTCTATTGAATATTGGGCTCCTACATTTGAATGAGAAGTTGCTGCTGAAAATGGTAACGGATCAGCTATTATATTTGAGCTTATTGACTTTGGTGGAGATTTGGATTTATAGGAAAACTTTTCACCGTGTATGGCGTTAATCTTCCTGTAACTGTCTTCATCAAAATCATTCGGAAAAAACAAATTCCAGTTCAATTTTTTACAGCTCTTTCCGGGACAGTCTTCTAAACGTTGAAAATTGTCTATTACATACGTTTCATTTGATGGAGTTTTACCGCACTGTTCGTTAGAAGAATTATTTTGTATTATAAATGTCTCATGGTCTTCGTGTGAACTGAGAGACTCATTCGCAGACTTAGATATCTTTAGATCTTCAGAATAGAAACCGAATTCATTCGAGGACAAATCAGTGTCCAAATAATGTATTGGAGGTGACGTCATCATCGTAGATGAAGGTGCCGTTGATGATAATGACGAATCTGGTGATGAGTTTGTCAACGCTGCAGACTTAGGTGAACAAATAACTCCTTCCTTACACGTCCATCGCTGAGAGTCAAGCAATTTTCGTACTTCTTCAATTTTTTGACATTTAGCATAAATGAACTGTCTTTGTACTCTTACATATAGTAAGTCAGTGTTAGTCGATAATGTATCTTGACTGCCATGTTTATTAATTTCAGGTAAGTGTCCTGTCTCGATCACAAAAGGATCGCCTTTACATACATTCACATTTTTTTCACATTTTACAAACTTAAATGTATTATTGACTTCTGCTCGATCAATAAGTACTGATGAAGTCTTTAATGGATTCTTTTGGATTTCATTAAGCTGCAAGATAACAATTTTTTCTAGATCCAACAAAAAAGTCGATTGTTCTGGAAGCAATTTAAGGCAGAAACTAATAAACTTTAAAAATAATTTCATAATTTTCTTTAACTTTTCTTGCCATTTCAAATTTAATTCTGACATTGATTGCTCCAGATATGGTTCCAGCAATTCTTGTTTTTTTCGAAGTTTTCTCAAAGTCTGTGTAATTTGTTTATTGTGGTAATTTTCCAAAAGAACCTGTTTCACTTTGCATTTCTTTCTTTCAATACACATGACGTACATGGTGCTAGTAATCTTGTTAGATTCCATTTCTTTATGGAGCGCATTCAAAGCGTCATTTCGATCGTGGAGTGCTTTATTAATTGCTATATTGCTTTTGCATTGTTCATTGTGCAAAAGTAATTTGTAATAAGTTTTTAATTTGTTTACTTCGATCTTATACTTCTGTTGCAATATATTGTTTACGTAAGACTTATGCTCTATCAGCCGTTTCTGTATTTGTTTATTCAAATCGGTTGTGATGACAGCATTGATTTTTATGGAAACCATTTCTACTTCATCTTTAAGGTGGGCTTCCAGTTCTTGCAAAGATTGTTCAAAATAACTTGATATTTCATTTTGCATCGTGCGGTTTTTCTCTAAAAATATTTTGTCGTAGTTATCTTTAATTCTCTGTTCGATAACTTCCTTTTCGTAATTTTTAATATGAGTCCATGCTGCGTCTTCTTCTTCCTTTAGACTGTCAACGAAACTGTCAAATTTGGTACGTTCTTTTGTTAATACGTCTTTTCCAATCTCCAAAATACCTTCATGGGTTTTGCCTTTTACAATCTTAGACGTGTAAGGTGGCTCTAACTCTATGAACTCTTCTAATATATCGCTGGGTGAATGCCACAAGTCGGGAAAGAGATCATCCAGCTGTCTCAATATTTCAACAATCGGCTTTTCATTAGTATTTGCTTTCTTACTATCAACATTTACATCATCATCATCAAAATATATACCAGCGTAAGTGCAAGATAATCTGTCACCTTGCTTTGATTGCGATTTATTTGGAATAACATCTTTCGCCATGCCATATAAACGTATGTCAAGGGTATAAAACACATAGAGTGTAAACAGTATTTCGTTACTGTTTACTTGTGTTTATGTGTGTTGTAAAACATTTACTAAAATATACAATTTAAAAAATCCATAAAATTGTTCCAAAATACCTTAGAGAATGGAAATTGGTTTCCATAGTCTAAGGAAAATACTGATTTAATGACATTAGTTGTCATACTCATGTTAAGGAAAATATTTTAAACGTTATTAAAAAGATTATCCCACAAAAAGAGTATAATACTTTGTTCCAATGATCTTATAAAATATTGTTCTAATCTTAGAATAATAACGCATAGAATGATAGTTTCATATCAAACGAACTGTCACAAGTAAGGCAAAAACCAAATTCATGTAGGCGTAAGCAACTTGTATCTACGCTCGTCGGCACGCACACAAATATACAAATAATGATGCCATGGAATAACATTTCCCTCAAAAGTGGGGAAATTGTATCTTGCTTAACTCACCATTAAGTTAAAGGTGCCTACAGATTTGCCCAACATTGTCGATCAGGTGCCTACAGATTTGCTCGATTTTGTCGATCGTTACTGTCGATCGACAATGTCGATCAGGTGCCTACAGATATGCTCGGTTTTGTCGATCGTTACTGTCGATCGACAATGTCAAGTGACAAGAATTTTCAAAAATTCATTTTTGATAATCCTTATACTAGAAATGGCATTTATATCTGAATACACGATGACGGACACGACTCTTCAAATAAATGCAATATGGGTATCATTTTCGAGGTATTTGGGGGTGCTCATTACAAATATGGCACTAATTTCTAAATCCCAGATGGCGGGCACGATTTTTCAAAAAAATGCTATATGGGTATCCTTTTCGAGGTATTTGGGGATGCTCAATGTGAATATGGCACTATTTGTAAATCCAAGATGGCGGGCACGATTTTTCAAAAAATGGCAAGTTGGGTATCGTTTTCGAGGTATTTGGGGGTGCTCATTACGAATATTGCTTTTGTTTGAACTGTCGTGTCTGCCATCTTGGATTTAGAAATGAGTGCCATATTGGTATTGAACTTCCCCAAATATCTCGAAAAGGATACCCATATAGCATTTTTTGAAAAATCGTGTCCGCCATCTTGGATTTACAAATAAGTGCTATATTCGTAATGAGCACCCCCAAATATCTCAAAAACCATACCCAACTTGCCATTATTCGAGAAATCGCGCCCGCCATATTGGATTTAGAAATAAGTGCTATATTCGTAGTGAGCTCCCCCATATACCCCGTAAACGATACCCAGAATCAAAATCAAAATAATCTTTATTTCATAAGTAAGCATTATTACACTAGAAATCGTCACATTGGTTAAATCTACCGCTCATTCGTAAGGCAGATTCCCCCGAGAAGTATGAGCAAGAAACTCTAGGGGTTGCTCTTTGTAAACAACATTTGTACGCATTTAACTTGCAGAAATGGAGGTTAAATGTACACTTACATTAGAATAAAAAAAAATCTGCAGCCATCGGGATATTGCCTATTCTCAAAAAATTACGTAATATAATTATTTTGAAACAGAATAGCAAAATTGGGAGAAAGAAATCCGTTACTTTGCAACATTTTCGTGTCTTGTTGCAACGAAATTAATTTTCGGTTTTAGTGAATATTTATATAAAAATACGAGTTGAAACGCGTTACTTCCTTGTGGAATGTGATGTTAGTATCTATTTTATGTTTGTCTGACGTATTTTTACACTCATTTACCGCACATTTCGTCATTTTTAGCTAAAATTTTGGAGCTGTTCGCGGTGCAAGTTGACCTTGAGCACTGAAGGCCCGCCCGCTCGTGTAGGCCCATTGGGAGCGCTTCAATTTGCCTCACTTGGCGTGTGCGGACTAGGTTTGTATGCGTTATTATTCTAAGGTTCTAATTAAAACTCAAATTCTAAGAATTTTTTAGTCTGATGTCTTCATGGACGTATCTATAACATTATAGTATATTGAAAAATGTCTAAAATAAATTTATTGTAGCTTTCTATTGTTTTGTATAAATTGATGCACCTGTAGATAACATTGTTTACATTTTATCGCCAATATTTACAATCGGGAAACTCTGTGTCACTTTATAACAGAGCTCCAACAAGATTATGTTTAATTAACCAACAATCCTCTTGTTTACAGATTTATTTGAGAATTTCCCTGGTTACGTGTGTCTTACCTATGCAGTAGAACTTTATTGCGAGTTTAAATTAAGTTTACAAACATGTTTGAGATGTAGGTAATGAATGTACTTACTTTAGGCATATATTTTTAAGATGTGTAGGGATTTTTTAAACATACTATGTATATAACAGCACTCGTTCTAAATATGTAATTATAGTTAATTTCTTTATTTGGGTGTAATGCCGTCAGTGTTATTTACCTACTCAGTTTATTACATTTTATTTGGCATTTTTGCTTTTTGCAAAGTTGAATGGAGATATCATTTTATAATAAACATTACTTAAAGAGTAGACTTGTAAAGACTTAATGTAAACATGTCTTAATTAGATGAAGAGAGTTCACATTGGCACTGAGGCAAGTGGAATGTCATAAGTCGCGTTTCGCGCACTCACAACGGGTGACGACATAATAAGTTAACTTGTTACGAACTGTGTAAATTTACCTTTACGCCCGATGTGCCGCCCGTCCCTACATTATTCTTAGCTAACGGTGTAATTTATATGATTGCGTAGTATATGTGGAATTTGGAAATTGTTACCTCAATTTACTCTCGCATCGTGTTGTTAAGTCATCGTTAAGCCTGCTGCTGAGACCAAGCACTGACTGGTTTAATGGAGTGTTATTAAAAGAGGATTACTAATGAATCTCATTGATTGCTTTTGTGTTGTTATGGATACATGAAAAACTATGATGTCAAAGTGTTCAATAAAACTGTTGAATTTTTTGTTTGTTACAATTTTTTCCCGCTACAAGTATTAATTATAAGGGCATTTCTTCAAGATAGGCTAAATTCTCTGACTGCGGTGGTCGATTCTTTCTTAATTTCAGGAAAAACGTAGAATAGGAAGGAAAAAGAACTCAAACTTACATAAAATTCCGTTACATTCTTAACAGTTAATGACACAATATTTGATCCACCGAATTCAGCTACCACCGAAATCAGGATAATTTAACAACAGGCATAATTTTTCTATAAAATATTATAAAAAAGGCAATAAAAACATTCAATAGTCTACATAAACATTCACTAATATGACTAACTATTAAATCAAACTTTAAAAACTAATATTTCTACAAAAAGCGACAAGAATAACGCAAACAAATTTCACCTTACGACTATTAATTAAAATCTATTTTCCGTTTGGCTGTTCAGCCTTTTTTCAATCACACAAAGTGTTTCCGTACCTCTTTAAAAAACAATTAAGAAGATACGCAATCTATAGCTACAAAAGCAATCAATATTTTAATTATTAATATCTTTCATTACTTTTTTACACAACGAGATAAAACATGCAACTTCAAAATCTTTTCTTACCGCTTTTTCTTCGCTTACCGCTGTCTATCTTTTTCTTTAAACCTTTCATATATAATTACATCGCTTTTTATCATTGCTTTTCCAGCACGTTCCTTCATCTTCTTGATTACTTCTTGATTACTATTTTCTGTTTTGATTTTCCTTGTATATGTTCTGTGGGAAGCAAGATGTAAACTTGCTGTGAAAATCAATCAAAATATTAACTAAACATTTGTATGAAAAAAACGTTAAAAATTCTTGCCTTTCAAAGAATATGGCTACTACGGCAGTTTTTTCCGACTTCGGTGGAAGCTTTTCTGAGTTCGGTGGCATAAAATCCACCGAATTCAAGGCCACGGTCTTACGTCGAAGCCTGTGAGGGCGCGTTCCCACCATGTCGTCACGTTTTATTATCGTTAGACGACTGTTGTGGCTAGCCTGTTCCCATATCACGACTATCTTTCGTGGACGATTTTTTATCTTTGAACGACTGTCGTGGCTAGCTGTTCCCACTAGATCGTGACGACAATTTTACACAAATTTATTTAAAAACAAACAGAAGCGAGCAGAGGGCGCGGGGTACGAGAGGGGAGGGCAGGGAGCAAAATACGTGCGGACAGCGATAAATAAAACGTGACGACAATAGGAGCTGCGACAATCTGTCGTCACGTTTTTATTGTGACGTTTTTTTATCGTCTGACGACTGTCGTTCTAGCTGTTCCCACTGTGACGACAGTTTGTCGTTGTAACGATAAAAAATCGTGAACGACAGTTAATCGTGTTAATTATAGTTAATATGTGAACAACTTCATTTAAATATACAAGCCACAACACTGTAAACTGCACGACAATCTGTCGTCACGACATAGTGGGAACGCGCCCTAACGCAGAGTAAACTAGGTATTGCGATGAAACTATTGTCTAGTTTATTGTGAAATTCAGATTGTACTGTCATCTAATTTATTATACGTGAACTAAAGTCGTATATTCATATATACGGCTTCAATTTTGAGAAAAATGACACTCTGTGTTGGATTCTGCTTTCGGGACACGCCACGGTTGTCAGATTTTCAGGTATTTCGGATCGTTTTTCTCTAAGTCCGAAAGGTTTATTGGGAAGATTTTAAGCTCTCCAAATAGCTTTCGACCAGCACTATACACTCATTTTTAAAATTTTTGTTTTGACAAATAAGTGGAGTTTAGTGCTGGACACAGATAATTGTGACTTTGAAGAAATGTCCACAATGTAAAGCACATAGTACTGATGACGTTATTACGCAAATTTTGTATATTTTATTGATATAATTTAAAAAAATACAAGGGTATAATACTTTTGTAGGTATTTAGACAATACAACCAAAAATAAAACTGCGATCCATTGGAAAACTTTTATATTTGTGTAACGTGTTATATGATTTATCGCAAATTAATCCATATTCTTCGTGGAACTTTAGTATACAAATAGAGTACAGCAAACAAGAACAAATGAATATAGTTTAGCGAGTAACCGCGGTGATATGGGAACGTTTGTGATCTCGGCGATGTTCACACCTGCCTTAATTGAACTCGCGAGATATACTGTTGCATTGTGCTGATACATCTTGGATAATGTGTGACATCCGGAAATAGCTCCATATTAATTTAACCTATTCCAATGTTCAGAACTCAATTTGAACTTAACTTGATATATAGTATGTATTAATACTATATTGTAGCACCTAGACTACATAAATCTAAATAAATAGGCACTCTATTTAGATTTCTGATACACACGGCAGGATGTCAGCCATCGTTCTGAAAACAAAAAGCGACGAACCACCAAACAGTATTCAAAATCTTGTCAAGCCAGATATTATGAGATAAGAATGTTTTAAATTCCTATTAATAAATGTTGTAATATTTTTTTAGACGTTCTACTTATTTTACCTAAGTAGAAACGTTTTTACAGTGAAAAGACTTAAAACAGATTATTGAATTTTGTGATACCATCAGACTGGACGAACAAGCCGTGGGCTTGGTGATAAGCGACACGCCTGTCCATAACAGTTGCAGTGCCACTTAGAGCTTTAAATCATAAAGGTCTGAGAACGATATAGAAAAATTTTTAAGACTGATTTTCCAAGTACAGATTGCGTGGATTTTAACGCCATAGATAGTGATATTGTTGGTATAGACTTTGTGGATACTTCTTCATTTTTCTTGTTGTAAACCTGATGATACTGTTACTTCCTTTGATAGTTCGAACATTTGTTCATCGCTCATTCCTGCTGTTAAATTGCTTATTATTGATAATGCTCGTGCACTCGGTTTGGAAACCTGAAATATAACGTTTAGTTTTTTACTACGAGTAATCTGAGGTACATGTGCCTAACTGATGTATTTTGTTGATGGCGATGTACTAGTATCACAGATGATATAATACTATCTGATATACTTACATTGTCCTAGCTAAAAAACTCTTTTTTTTTAAATAATATTAGTGATATAATAAAATAAAATAAAATAATAAAATATAATATGTAAAATATCGAGTTCTTAGGTTTTCGCGATTGTTACACATAGGAAATGAAACTATTTTTCCGGATTTAAATCGCGTATATTTGTTTTTTCAAACAAACCTAGGTTTATAGGTATATAGGTTTGTTTGAAAAAACAAATATACGCGATTTAAATCCGGAAAAATAGTTTCATTTCCTATATATGTAAAATAATTATATATATATGGTTAATTTATACAGTATAAAATAAACATTTTACAGCATAAATATACTCAATATCAGTATATAAATATACAATAAACAATACATATATATATGTATAACAAATATACCTTATATATATATATATATAAAATAATAAAATAAGTGACGAGGCGAACAAGTCGTGCGCCTGGTGGTAAGCTACACGCCTGTTCGTAACAGTTGCAGTGCCACTCTCAGCTTTAAATCGCAAAGATCTGAGAGGCACTACCACTGCACTCGTCACCCTGAGACATAAGTTGGCAAGCCCCATGTGCCTGTGATTTTACCAGCACCCTTACCCTTCAAAACCGGAACACAGTAATGCTGACATTACTGCTTGGCGGCAGAAATAGGTATCGTGGCAGTACTTCCCTGGCCGAACTCTACTAAAATATGTATATAAAATACTTACCTATACTGGATTTGTACAAAATACCTAGCAATAGATTGGTATAATGTTGTAGATTTGTACTCTGTCACCATTGTTATGTACTGTAAGTAAGTAATAAGAAACTTTAATTGAAGCTGGCACCCCACTTAGATTTCAATTCGTTGAGCGACCAAGCTGATGGCCTTTGCTACTCGTTGCTTTGAATGTGGCCCCGTTCGCATGCGATGCATTTATTTGATGGGATGTAAACACTAAATACATTGATATTTTTATTTAGGACTCTTTTTGTACAAGCTCGTGTAATGTACAGTGTACAAACAAAAAACCAAAGTACTTGATTGTGGAAGAAATGTTGTCTCGTAATTGAGAGTCGAGAGTTCGAACCCTGTGGTGTCATGACTGTAGACGGTGAATGAAAACATCGTGATAAACTGCACGTCGAAGAAGGTTCACCAAAATCCCCTTAAGTATAATGGATTGACAATAATACTGCACACATGCAAATGTATGAAAATTAGGAAAATAAAAATATCAGTGTTTCCCGTTGGTCAGATTGACGGTCAGACAAGACTAATCAGTGGGATTTTTTTCCTTCGGGGCAATCAATAACACTAACTACTACAGAAAACTACTGAAACAAATCTGTTAATGAAGCTACACAATATGTGTGAAAAGTAGAGGAAAAATTTAAATAAAAGTCTTCAAGCCAAAAATATTAGGTATCATCATACTTTCTTATATTTCCAAAATACGCCTGTTCTAACTAGTCCCTATATACCAGCTGACCCCCTGGTGGGGACAAGTGATTTTTTTCCACTCTTCCCTATCACACCGTCACTGCCTCAAGTAATTCTTGTTCAGTACAGGACAAATTCTGGATTCGACAGATTTTTGTTACTCTGTATAAATACACCAAATTCACGTCAACTAATAACAGTCCAATAGAGTAAAAGACCTGGGCTTGATGCTGACGCGTCGATTGTGTAATACGACGATTCGCTGAGTAGCCGACCTCGGCACTGGGTACGTCTATAAAATTAACTACAGACTATGGGCATAATAAAAAAAAGATGAAGCGATGACTGAATGAATGAATTAGTTTGAAAAGTATTAGTAACGCTATTCTAGTAATGGCCAGAAGTGGAAAATAGAAAGGTTAAGTTGCTTGCAAAAATAACGAAGTGAAAATGAATATATTACTTGTACAGTCAACAGCACATCACGCTTTACACTTTTGTTTGAATATCACCTCTAGAGCATAAGATGGCATAAGATCCGTCAATATTTAGCTTGATAATTATGCTGCCGTCGGTACTATATGAAGATAATAAAAATAGGTATTTATTTAAAAGTACTACATAATCTATACAAAAATAAAATATAAGGTAGCTCATGCATGAGCCTTAAATGATTCATCAGTAAAAAACATCTCCAGAAGTCGAGGATAATCATGAACCAATCTTTGCAAAGATGCCTTCCTTTTAAACAGAGTTTCAGTTAGTGTATCAACCGCAGTTTTGTTATCAACGACTCCAAATTTTAACTTTGAACTGTCTGCATATTGGCTCAGGCAAGGACATTCCAAGTCAAGCGTTTCCAGTTGTATACTATCTTGGCTTGAATATTGTGTTTCCACGTTAACAGTAAAAGTTTTAGTTGCTTTAAATGGCAAATCCTTATGTCTTGCCATATCGGTTGCTCTAATGGACTCTGGTGGTGTTTCCATTTTGGGCATGTCACCAAGAATCGTCTTCACTCTCGTATAATTCACTTCATCAAAATCTAGATAAGATGCTAAGTTTGGAAATGACAACCTTTCTTTAAAACCTTTGCATCCCCTAACAGGGCATTCATGCAATCGCCGAACGTCAGGTATCAAGTATGATTCGAAAGATGATTCTGTACTTGGTTGCAGTGTCGGTGTAGAACTATGAGTTTTGAGACTATCACTTGTACTATGTGATGTTGATGTTGCTATTAATGTTGTTTTAATATTGTAAAAATCTGGATCATGGCACTTGCAGCGTTGGGATTCAAGAAACTTTCTTACTTCTTCCAGTTTTTGACACTTGGCGTAAATAAACTGTCGCTGTACTCTAAATGACGGCAAGTCAACTTTAGAAGGAATAGTTTCCTGGCTTCCATAAGGCGTTAGAATCGATGGTGTTAAGTCTCCTTCAATAACAAATGGTCCACCCTCACAAGTCTCCTGTTCTTCGATGTTTTCATGAAACTTCAATAAATTTATAATATCGTCTTCATTCACAAGCATAGATGGTGCCATTTCAGGATTCTTTTGAATTTCATTTAATTGCAAAACAACCAATTTTTCTAGATCTAATAAGAACGTGGTTTGTTCTGGTAAAAGTTTTAGACTAAAACTAATAAACTTTAAAAACAGACAAAGAATTTTTTTTACTTTTTCTTCCCATTCTTTGTTTAAATCTAATATAGTTTTTTTTCTCTCTTTAAATTCGTTCAAAATTTGCTGCTTTTCTTCAATCTTTCTTAGTTTTTCTTTCACTTCTTTTGAGTAAAAGTTTTCTACAAAAAATTTTCTAATCCTGCATTTTTTTCCTTCCATGCACATAACATACATAGTGCTAGTATTGTTACCGGCTTCCATCATTTTGTGAAAAGCTTTTATGGCATCATTTTGATCACTGAGACCTTGATTAATCATTCTATTACATCTATATTTTTCATTATGTAAAAGTAATTTATAATAATGTTTGATTTTATTTATCTCTTCGTCGTATTTTTTTTGTAATATTTTCTCTAAATTACATTTTTCTTTTTTTAAATTTGTACGTATCTCTGTATTGAGATCATTAAGAATTTTACAATGTGTACTCATTATTACGGTTTTCACTTCATCTCTCATATGATCTTCTATCTCCTGTAGACTATCTTCAAGAAACTTTGAAACTTCACACTGCATAGTTTTTGCCTTCATTAAAAATATTTTATCATATATATCTTTCACTTTCTTTATAATAAGCGTTTTCTCTTGTTCTTGAATATGAGCCCACGCCGAATCGCTTTCTGCAAGTGAACTAGCAACGTATTGAAGGAACTTGTTGTGTTCGACTTCGATGACACCTTCACCAATCTTCAGAATACCTTCATGGGCCGTTCCTCTTGTGATTCTCGATGTGAAGGGTGGCTTCAATGCTATCCAATCTTCAAGCATAACGTCACTAGGTGAGCGCCACTGTTCTCCAGTGGGCCGTTCCTTCTCAGGAACTTTTGGCTTGACAAGGTAAGTTTCATGTTCTTTTTGATGATCGTAATCACAATAGTCATCATCAAGATAAGTTTCATTATAACAACTAATGACTCGTTTATCATGCTGTTCTCCTAAAATTGAAATAATATGTGTAGGATTAGGATTCATGGCTGGTATATGTATGATACAAAAAAGTTTATCGTAAATAGTTATATAATTCTAAAATATAATTGAAGGTAAAAAAAATTGAAGAATACATTTTGTTTTTGTTTTTCTTCGTTTCCCAAGGAACAGGCGACGGTCAGTCACCATACTGCCTAGTCATTTTCTCTTTTTCTTCAGTACAAAGAATACAAATAATAAACCACTCTTCCTTTTTTTCTTCTTTGTTGGCTTTTTCCGTTAAGCGTTTCAGCCACTTACAAAACGTTTAGACTAAATTTGTTCTTAAAACTTGGAAATATATTTTTATTTTATCATAGTAATTCGTAATTTCTTCTTTTTCTTTTAAATGTTATGACCCCATCGAAGTAATCGATGATTTCGCCAATGTCAAGTTGAGAAAGACACGTTTTTACTCAAAAATTGACCGGTGAATTTCGAAACAATTCACTGAGAAATTCATAATTTAAGTTGTCTAGTCTCTTTATTTTCTAAAGTTAAAAAATGACACTGAATAATTCAAATTAGAAAAAAAAATTAGATGAATTTACAGAAAACAAAAAACCTTACGTATTAAAAATAATTTATTAATATAAAGATCGAACACTTAGAAAAAATTTCTTCGATCAGGCCAGATTCGAATCGACGTCTTCTACCAAACTGTGCCAGACGCTATGCCAACTAAGTCACGGAACGAACCAGCTGACCTCACAAACTTTTCTATGTGCTTGTTGTCGTATCCTTGTATTTGGTTTTTCAACGATTTTTTAGCCGTAGCGCCATCTATGAGAAATCTATGAAAATATTTTGTCATCCAGTTAGATACCTTTACAGCTACTAGCCTTGGCTAGAGATGTCGTTATTCAATGTATTAAAATTTTTATTGAATTGATATTCAATTATTTTTTTATGTCAAATTACTCCACTACTTTGTTATATTAATGCAAAGATCGAACACTTCGAAGAAAAAAAATATTATGCAGAATAAGTTGCATGTTGTTGTGGTGAATGCCATATTATAGTGTATTTATAAGAAATAGATATCATACTATGTTACATGTCACCTAATCTATGTCTAGTTTTGTTTTAACTAAATAAATTTAAATAAATGAAAGTTATTTATAATCCGAAATAAAGCTTAATAAATAAGCGATTTTGGCAAACTGCCATTTAGCCCCCAGTGGAAACAGACTCCCGGAGACAATGGTCTTTTAAACAAATAAGGTAGATGTGTTACAAGGGTCCGCGTAGTGGGGATTCGAATCTCAGTAAAATGGCCGACCTTACAATCAATCTGCGTCGAGCAAAGAGACGATCCTGACGTTTGTAGAATTGCGTCATTATATTCAAATTTCAAGAAAAATAGATGACGAAGATGAGGAGGAATGGGAAGAAGCTCAAGAACAACCTAGCGCATATGAAAGCCTGACGGAATCGTTCCCGGAGAGCCCTCAGCTGCGCCGCTTCGCTGGGCAATGTCACCCCCAAGCTCACCGAATGACTACGGCTTCAGAACGACGCCGGAGAGAATGTGGTGAATGCCATACAGTGTATTTATAAGAAATAGATATCATATTGTGTTATATGTCACTCAAAGTATGTCTAATTTTGTGTAACTAAAAAAACCCTAATGTTTCGGGAATAAAAATATCTCTCATTCAGTTCAATTGTATTGTAAACAGTTATATACTTTTACAATATAATTGTAGGTAAAAAAAATAAGAATACAAATAGTAAATCAGTCTTGCTTTCGTAATTCAAGTTTTCTTCACTTTCTGAAGTTAAAAAATTTCATATTTGAAAATTTGAAAACAAAAAATCTTACAGAATTTAAGTAGTACTTTTTCAAAATATATCAGAATACTTTAAGATTATCTAAGACAGTAATGTATGCTCACTCAAGACGATTTTAAGAAAAAAACAAAGCTTCAAATACACAATATTTTAATAATGTGCAGAACAAGCAGTATAATATAAAAATATTTTGTATTTTTAAATGAATCACTTAAAAGGGATTGAAATATTTATGTCTAAAGTTTCTTTTCTTAAGGTTGAATGCAATACGTAAGGTGGTAAACGAATTTCAAGAGCAGAATAACAGTCAGTATGGTAATTGTGTACGTGTTGACGGCCTACCTGTGATTAGCGGCGGTGATGGAGAGCTCTGCCCGCGCCCATGCAGCTAGATTTAATTAAATACTTCCTTCAACCACCCACATACTATTTCAACTCTAGTACTTCGCCTTATCTCTCCCATTGTTGAAAGTGCCTTGTTCTAAATGTTCTTCTCAAATTTTGAAAACGTGAGACGGTTGCAGAACCAACATTTCAATTAATAATTAACTGCCTCCCAGTCCCAGGTTCGATTCCCGGGCCAGAAAAATAGTTATATGGCCTACATTTATGTCTCTCGTGAGTTTGGGTGTAATTTGTGGTTCTCTATGTGTGTGTCCATGGCACCCGCGACTCAGTGTGTCCCTAGTGCGGGGCTATGTTGAGTGTGTGCGTAATTATTTTTTTAATAATTTGAAGAAAAGTAGCTAATGCCAATTATTATTATAATCTTTATCTAAGTTATAAACTATTTAGCAAATGTGACTATACTAATAAAGTGCCAGATACCAATTACTTGATCTCGTTATCTATATTGTGAGTACGAGAGTAAAGAAATTCGCGCAAGGGCACTACCGAGACCATCATTAGGTTTAAGGGTGTGATGTATATATATTTTTGTAATATTCTTAGTGTTTAAAATAAATAAATAAATAAATAAAAAAATAAATCCAGACCAGAGCCAATTTAAAAAAGTTTACTTCCCAAATTGGTCCTACCGGAAATCAAACCCAGGCTTCCTGATTCAGCGCCTATAATGGGCCACCTAGGTCGTCAAATATTTTATTATTAACTATTGGCTGTACTACGTTTTGTCACTGAAGTATGTATAATTTAAATTGAAATTACCGAGACAGTGAAACTAAGCACAGTCGCTACGGTAAATTTGTCCACCGTACGATACTCCTAGCAAAAACAGTCAATTTTGCGCTTAATACCGCACCGTATAGGAGCATGTGATAATAAATTACGGATATATCTCGACTCCATTCTCATTACGGATGCGGCAATGTCCGACGGAGTTTTGTCATAACTCAGTCTCGGCTGAAATTATTTCCGCTGGGTCTGATGAGAAAACTAGAGGTGGAGAACTCGAAATGTAAGTATTCGAGCAACAAGCCGTGGAATAACGACGGGACATATTTCATTCTTAACGAAGTTAAATTTCCGGGCTGGTCCTGTAAGAGCGTGCGTAACTCTGATAAAAGGCAACCCGCCGCAATACCGATTTACTATTTGTATGACATTCGGAGAATACAAATGCATTTAATACATTTTCGATCTGCTGAAATAAAACTCAATTTTATTATAGTCTCCAAACACATCGAATTACCTGACGTGGCCAAATTATAAAAAAAGAAGACATAAGGTAAGAAACTACTCACTAATTCCAAGCATAGTGAGAGGTTATCCAAAACTTTCGATGTTTTGACGTGCTTACAATAAAACAACAGCCATAATTCAGAAACTGGAAACAAGTTGGATTGTTTTCTACACATCATATCAGCAAATAAATCTTAGACCCGCTTATCTGGCGTCAAACTTAATTCCCATGCATAATTCATCGTCGATCGCGGAAAGGAAAAGTTGGGCAACTCGCTACAGGCCGACAATGCTGACACCCTTCTAACTAATAGTTCGACAAAACTCCGCACGCTTTATTCTGCACAATAAACTGTCGACGACTCTAAAATTATCTTTTCACATTTCAAACATGATGTTTAAATTCTGGATTTTCGGGATTGATGAATGATCCTAACAGTGATAATAATTTATTCTTTTGTGTATCTCAACTCTCTCCGTTATTATTCAGATTTTCTAGGAAAAGGTATAGCAATTGTAAACTGGGCGATGCTTCGTCACGGGCGCAGGCGGCACGTCTCCTACAATATTTCATACTTACAGAAACAACCCGTGGAATAGAGCGTCGTTACAGCGTGCCGCAGCCAGATAAAGATGCTTTCACGTGCTTCTGTCTAAATCATCCGTTTCAATTTTATTTGCCAACTTGAATAATGTCGAGTTTCAACAATGGTGACTGTACGTAAGTAAATCGTAGTTTTAATTAAAATATATACATTCATGTTATTATATTTGTACCAAGTAACATGCATAAATGAGTCAATTTCAGTCGAACGTGTCTAGTTGGTAACCAGTGTTTACTATCCGGAGAAATAGAGCAGCGTTTAAAAAAGTGTAAAACCAACAGCAATTTCGAGTGTGGCGGCAGATCTGGTTCAGGCAGGTAATACCAAGAATTGATTCGACGTCAATCTCACGGGCACTCCGACCGATGACGAACTGCACTCGCCAGTTCCAGCACTCCGATAACAGTTTTCATTTCTGCAAAATTTTCGTATCAGACACAGAACATGATATATAATCGATGTCCAGTGCATTTATCTTTCTTTTTTATTCCTAATTCGTAAACATGATCGCATAATTTCGTAAAAAGAATATCTCGATGACCCGCTCGATGGTCAAATGCAAACCAAAAAAACTAAATAAAGTCGTATCATAAGTTCCAACGAGTATATATAAATAAATTCTAGATAAAGGTAGGTGTGCATAGACGTGAATGTTGTTGTTTGTTCACAACATTTAAATTCAGTAGAGCAAGTCCCAGGAAAGAGTTGTATTTGTCCACTGTACCTAAACTCACACACGGAATTGTAAATTTATTCGTCGGTTTCTCAACTCTGAGGTAGCTGCACGACGTCTCAAAAGTTTTTCGGAGACAATTTGATTACATCAAAAGGTATAGAGTTGTGCTATTATTTATGCTCACTGGTTGTACTACTAAACTGCAACAAACAAGAGCTACATTACATAATGATGCAAAGCAAATTATTTTATAAATTTGAAGATCTAACGTAATTTCGAATTAACAACTTCAAAATGTAAAGCAAAATTTTACTTCAATGCCAAGAAACGTCTTGTCTTGGCTTGACAATTGTTTTGCTCATTTGTTAAAGGCAATGTAATGTGAAATCGGTGATTGCTTGAAATTATACGAATATCTATAAGCTCCGTATGATGTCCATTCTCTAACCGACGACTGTGGAGGTAGCGGCGGCCGTGTATCGGCGTAGGTTGTTATTGCCGTCTGACACGACATAAGGTGTTGCTTATAATTTCGTTGGTGTAAGATTGCGCTGTAATATAGGGTAAGGGCTGCTTGAATTGCTGTATTTCCTTAATAGTCTGCATTTACCCTCGCCGACAATTTCTGACAAGAGCGTGAGCCAAATTGTCGCCTAGAGGAAATAAACTAATTTGCTTCTGTGTGACATTCATAACTGAAACGATTGCTCAAATGCAAAGTGAATATTGAACAATGATTTCTAGGATCACGGAGGCTCTCGAATGCTTGTTATTTTAAGTAAAATTTCATAATTTAGACATTGATTAAAGAATTAAGGTTTGAATAAAGAACTTAACTTAAACTACCTATTTATTTAACAAAAATCAGGTTCTAATTCTAAGTTTTTAATATTTCAAAAAAAAACGACCCATTAGCAGGCACGCAGGTACGAACAGAGAAGCAATTAAAGCAACTGCCGTTCTATGAGTAAGCACGTATTGTCCTAAATCTTGCTTTCGCATTAAGTGCGACAGCTTGAGATGGAGGTGTTTTAATAATGAATTCTTTTCAGCGGCACGTAGTTAATATGGCGGAGTTAAACGAAGGGCGTCATAAAACGTGTCATTGTAGCGGGATGAGTTTAATGGCTTGCATTAACACTATCGCCCGTCCGGGGCGGATTAAGAGCGCACTTTATGAACTTGCATACGCAAGTAAGCCTCAAATATGAGCAATCATTCTTTTCAGTCCCAATGTTTATCTAGAGCTCTTCTTACAGAGTTGTTACTCGGAAAATCAGTGTTTCAAAATACAAGCCCTACTTATAGATACTCCATACTCAATACTTTATTGCATACCATAACGTTATATACAGGTGGTAGGTAACATAAATACATGAATTAAGTTCATTATGGACCCTGAGAGGGCACAGCAAATGACATAAATCTAAATAAATGAAACTAATTCTAACCATATACTAAAGCCTTAAGATTATTACAGGTACATATTGCTCATAGTGTATTTGGTGAGAAAAAAAATTTAATATCATAATAATAATTTGTATAACTTTTCGTTAACAATAATATAATTTATTAAACATATTATCTGTAAATAATAATCACTAATATCAGGTTTCTTACCACGGTATGACTTCTTTTTATTTTCCCAATATTTCGGAACGGTAGCACGCTCCATGGTCACGGATTGACTCAACCCGTAGAGTAGAGTCAACCCGTGACCATGGAGCGTGCAACCGTTCCGAAATATCGGGAAAATAAAAAGAAGTCATACCGTGGTAAGAAACCTGACATTAGTGATAATCATTTAGTGAATAACCACGAAAATCTTAAAATCTATGTATTATCCGTATATGTATTAAATATTATAACCATGTATGTTATTAACTGGACATATCCCTTCCATCTAAGTATTCATGTAGTGTATAGTAACTTTTAGCCACTAAATATGTTTTGACGCGTCTATAAATGTTATTTCGCTTGGTTCAGTTTTTAGTATTTTTGGTTATTTGTTGTAAATTTTAATTGACATAACAAACGGACTTGATGAATGCAACGTTTATCGCGAGACTAGTAGTATTAATCTCTCAAAGTCTTTGTGTCAGAAGGAATATTTAGTCGGAATGTCTTCGCGCTTTGCAAATAAATTGAAATTTTTGCGGTCGAACTTACATATTTCCAGGAATGTATATATACGGTAAAGTAAGAATTTTGTGCTGTTGGACGAAAGGTTTGCAACCGTCGGTTTGTTTTATGGTTACGAGAATTCTTACAAGCTTTTTCTGAAGAGATATGTATATAAAGAACCTATACCGCTTATGGTACTGGCCGCCCGCAGGAGCCTACTGACTGAAAACTGACTATGTTTTAACTATTGCAAATTTGTTCTTTTATTATTTTTCTTCAACTTGTCACCCATTCCTGTACGTTCATATCATATACGCCAAAATCTCATTGTGCTTATTTAATTCATGAATTACCTGTCGTCCATCGCCAGGGCAGTTAATACTACTATTTCGTGGTTTCGTAATTATAAGACCTAAGTTTATTTTTCTTACACCCATTAACACGGCCGCGACTTGGGAGTAAAACTAGCCGCTACAGCTGCACTTTAGTGGAGAATAGCTCTAAGCGATACTTGAGTATATACCTATAAATGTAGATTGTGAATCCACGTCAAGCATTAGGCGCAGGTAGGTCAATTCGAATGCTTGTCTGGAATCCAATTCGGTTCTAACCCACTATTCACAGTTAGTTGCATTAGATTAGGCACCGTTTGCATTCCACTTGCCCTAAATCCGCTTCACTTGAGCTAATAATAATAACAGACTTAGTTTACCCACTACATAATTGAAGGTAGTAGTACAGCAATAATTTATAAATGTATTCCATAACTATCGCAACGTAAAACAAATTTATCGGTTAGTCCACAAGTAAATAAAGAATACTTTTTTATTTTTACTCCAGTGTCATCTTTTGCCAGAGATAACGCAATTATTAGAGCAGTTTCAACTTTGTCCTCTGTTGCTCCAAACATTTCCAAGGCGTTTCGTCTTTTGTCTGTACACAAAAAGGTTTGTCAGACACGTGACTATTATTGTGAGTGTATATGATCAAACAATATAAACTGAGAGACATTTCATAATCCCTGTCGTCCTACCTCCGCACACGTTTATTGTATCATGTGAAGGTTGACATGAAATAAAACAGAACATATTTTAATTATTTGGAAAGCTAATCGCAGCACTAAAACTCTTGTGTGTTTGAAATAAATCTCATAATTTAAACATTGAAAGTAAAACGTATTTATAGGTAGATTATTTTTAATTACATCTTTAATATTTTTTTATTAATATAATGAGCAAAACGAACATTAATAAAAGGTCTGTTGAATATTGTATTTATTGCACTTTTTATATAAAAACGCGCACACATGCATAGCCCAGCACTAGGGAAACCCTGTATCGCGCGTGCCATAAATTATACCCAAGCCCACGAGACAAAAAATGTAGGCCATACAAATATTTCTCTAGGCCCGGGAATCGAATCCGGGAGATTTGCGTGGCAGTCCAGTAAGGTAACCGTTCGGCTACAGAGACAGTTATCTTATGCCGTTAAAGTGCCTTTAGAAATGACTAAATACTCGTATAATTAATAATAATATGCCAGACAACCACATCAATTACTCGGTCTCAAAGTCAGGAACTCCCTGCACTATGAGCATCGAATATCAATCTGGCATACTAGTCGGAACACTCACAACTGTATTAATTTAAAAAAAATCATATCTAAATCTAAATCTAAATTGATCCCACCGGAAACAAATCTGGGCCCACCTCATCCAGCACCCATAGCGCAAACCGTTTGAGATACTGAAACCCTCGATATATTGTTAGATATATGGGCTCTCACTACGAAATATTAAATGCAATAAATTGTATTCAAAGCTACATTCGCAACTACAATGTTTGTCCGACGTGTTAATTTGTGACGTTTCTCCGGCGACGTGACGGGGCTGTGACAGGCACGGGCTGGCATGAAGACGGTTGCTGGCCCACGGACAATTGAATCATAAAACGGCGCGTGACCATCAGCATCGCCCTAATTTTCACTAATATTTGACTGTTCGTGCTTATTTATTTGTATCTTAAAGAATGCTTTTCCAATTACAAAACTAAAGAGAGTTATTAACATGGCAATACGCTTGTCAAAAAATCTTTGAATAAAATACGTTTATTAATTAAGAATATTTACATTTATGGCTAAACGAATAACTAAATAATAAATAACGCACACACTCAACATAGCCCCGCACTAGGGAAACCCTGTGTCGCGGGTGCCATGGACACACACATAGACAACCACAACTTACACCCAAACTCACGAGACAAATAATTGTAGGCCATACAACTATTTCTCCCGGCCCTGGAATCGAACCTGGGACCTCTGCGTGGCAGTCCGGCATGGTAACCGTTCGGCCACGGAGGCAGTTAATAACTTGCGTTTATACAACTTTATATGGAAGTTTTTAACACTCTAGCGGACTGTATCAATAGGTTCGGGTGGGTGCTAACAAGCTGGAGGTTACAAGACTTTGGTCTTGTATAATGTACTTACATTTTATTACATAACAACGCACCGCTGTCAATCAAAACAGAAACAATAGTCATTAATAAGAAAAGGCGCCAAAAATAATCACATTTAAATT